TATAACAACAGTAGTACTACAGTTTGCATAGTATGACTAGAGAAATACTGTAGCTGTCACATTGTAACTATAGTACTACTACAGCTTTTAAGAGTATAACTATAGTACAACCCAATTCTGAAATAGTTGGGACGAAGAGTAAATTGTGAATAAAATCAAAATGCAATGACTTTCAGATCACATGAGCCAATATGTTATTTACAATAGAACATAGATAACATTTCAAATGTTGAAACTGAGACATTTTACATTTTTATCCACAAAATGAGCTTATTTCAAATTTTCTGGCTGCAACAGGTCTCAAAAAAGTTGGGGCACCGGCAGAAAAGGGCTGAAAAAGCAATTAATATATAAGAGAATCAGCTGAAAGAACATTTAGCAAGTAATTAAGTTAACTGGCATCAGGTGTGTAACATGATTGTCAATGAAAGGGATGTCTTAGAGCAGTGGTTCCCAAAGTCGGTCCTGGGGACCCACTATGTATGTTGGTTTTTGCTCCAACCACAATTACTATCCCAGAGTTTTAACAAGCTGTTCATTTTTTAATTAATAGTTGCTTGTCAGATAAGAGGGACATTTTACCCCCTTAAACCACATTATGACAGAAATGGCTGTGCATTCCATGATATTTCAAAGCCCAACATTCATATTTTTTATTTTGATGTATTCCACGTAAGCACGACAATCAAAGGTGGCAGTATGTTTTATGTGATCAAATGCAACACTGCAATCAGTCAGTAATCTGGTGATTAGGGTTCTGAATGCAGGAGTTCAGGTTCTTTCCTGAAACCAATCAAGTGACATTTAACAGGTTTGACTCATGATCATTTTGACTCATCGTTTGCTTTGTCTTTGAATTCTTAATTGCCTAATAATTGTTAGCTTTAATGACCTTGTGTCCACAATTTTATCAACTAGAAGCCCATTTATAGATTCATGTCATCAGTTGCAAATTTCCACTTTTTTATGTTAGAGAAGTAATTTCCAATTTAGCACACTATGAAATGTTTTTCATCATGGCCATTTTGACATGTGGTTTCAAAGGATAAATAATCAGTGTGAACAAGAATAGTGCAATTAAGAACAATGAACAACTCATTAGCATTCTAAGATTGGATCTGTGGTTGAAACAAAAACCAGCATACACAGTGGGTCCCCAGGACCGGATTTGGGAACCGCTGTCTTAGAGAGGCTGAGTCTCTCAGAAGTGAAGATGGCCAGAGGCTCTCCAACCTGTGAATGCTTACGTAAAAAAATCGTGGAATACTTTAAAAACAATGTTTCTCAATGTCAAATTGCAAAGGCTTTGAAGGTCTCATCATCGACAGTGCATAACATCATCAAAAGATTCAGAGAAACTGGAAAAATCTCTGTGCGTAAGGGACAAGGCCGAAGACCTTTACTGGATGCCCATGATCTTCGGGCCCTCAGACGCCACTGCATCACTCACCGGCATGATTCTGTCATTGACATTACTAAATGGGCCCAGGAACACTTCAAGACAATCCGCCGGGCCATCCACAGATGCCACCTAAAACTCTATCACGCAAAAAGGAAGCCATTGTTGAGCATGATCCAGAAGCGCCGCCGTGTTCTGTGGGCCAAGGCTCATTTAAAATGGACTGTAGCAAAGTGGCAAAGTGTCCTGTGGTCAGACGAGTCCAAATTTACATTCTTGTTGGAAATCATGGGCGTCGTGTCCTCCGGGCTAAAGAGGAGAAAGACGTTCAGCGTTCAGTTCAAAAGCCAGCATCTCTGATGGAATGGAATTAGTGCATATGGTGTGGGACACTTGCATGTTTTAAAAAGCACAATGAATGCTGAAAGGTGTAGGCCTATAAAGGTTTTAGAGCAACATATGCTCCCCTCCAGACGAGATCTATTTCAGGGAAGGCCTTGTGTATTTCAGCAGGACAATGCAAAACCACATACTGCAGCTAATACAACAGCATGGCTTCATAGTAGAGGAGTCCGTGTGCGGAACTGGCCTGCCTGCAGTCCTGATCTTTCACCGATTGAGAAAATTTGGCGCGTAATTAAATGAAAAGTCCGTCAAAGGAGACCCAAAACTCTCCAGCAGCTGGAAGCCTGTATTAAGCAAGAGTGGGATAAAATTCCAATGGCTAAACTCAAGAAACTTGTCTTCTCAATGCCCAGACACCTCCACTCTGTGTTAAAAAGAAGAGGGGATACCACACCATGGGAAACAGGCCCCTGTCCCAACTTTTTTGAGACCTGTAGCAGCCATCAAATTTGAAATGAGCTCATTTTGTGGATAAAATTGTAAAATTTCTCAGTTTCAACATTTGCTATGTATCTCTGTTCTATTGTGAATAAAATACTGGCTGGTGTGATTTGAAAGTCATTGCGTTTTGATTTTATTCACAATTTACACTTTGTCCCAACTATTTCAGAATTGGGGTTGTAGAAGGCCGAATAATATTTTTGAGCTAGAGGTGTTCTGCAGGAAGAATGGGGGAAAAATTCCAAAGACAAGAATCGAAAGACTCTTAGCTGGCTACAGGAAGCATTTGCAAGCTGTTATACCTGCCCGAGGAGGAGTTACAAAGTATTAGCTGACAGGGTTCCCAAACTTTTGCGCAAGGCCTTTTTCCTTGTTTTATTATTTTGAAACTGTAAAAAGTTAAAATAAAAATTATTCTTGCTTTAAAATGTGATGAAATGTGTCATGTTTAACTTTGTAGTATTGAGTGTTCAGGTTTGCTTTCAAACACCTGGAGATTAATTGTAACAGATATTTAAACCAGGGGTGCCCAAATTTTTGCATCCCACTGTACAGCTAACATGAAACTATATTTACTCTCATTCATAGTGACCTCCCTTATATGAGTGCATTGACCTTTTTCATGTGGACAATTGGGAATGTTGTTAGCCAGACCTGGCTCAGAGCATCAAATTAAGCATAACTGTAAGTTAACGTTTCTAAATACTCAAGGAGGTACCGTTCAGTCTGTGAACTAGACGCTGGGCTTCGATGCATATGTCCACATAGCCCTGAATACAGCGGCTGTCACATAGAAAAAGACAGGAAGACAGTGCTGACAATGTTGGATACCAAGGCCAGAGAGGGCAACAACATTGGTGTCATGGTTTGCCAGAAAAATGTGCATGAATGTAGGCTCATTATGAAGATTTTAGCACAGTGGCACCTCACAACACCACAAAAGAAGAATGGTAAAATCATGTTCGATGTTGATCAAAGTACGATCTAGCACTATGTGGGACCATTAAATTTCCTTGGTCACCAATGCAAAGCATGAAAACAATTTGGCAAGTTAATACAACAAAAGCTTTGGCGATACAACAGCAACAATATGAGGAATGGCACTAGACTGAAGAAAACGGCGACAGTTTTGAACTGCCGCCATAGAAGAGCGAACTTTGATATCAATCAATCAATCAAAATTTATTTATATAGCATATTTACAAACAGCAATAGCTGAACCAAAGTGCTCTACAGATAAAAACATAAAAAGTATAAGAATAGTGCAAATACAGGTGATAGTGACTAAAAAATTAAAAGTGGAACAAATTACAGGGGGAAAAAAAAAGGCTGATCTCTAAACAGAGATAGACTACTATGAATCAACAGAGAAGTCCCACCACACATCAAAGACTACCACCACATAAGTTGAATATCATGACAAACGTAGTGAAGAACTTGACAAATTTTTTCACTAAACTTTTCGAAAATATTTTTCTTCAATGTGACAGCCGCATAAGAAGAAAACAACACAGCTTTATGCCATAATCTATGCCTGTTACAAGATAGTGCCATCAGTGTGATTAGAGAAAACTATGACAGTAACAGTGCAAAAATCAAGTTCACCACCTATCCCAAGCCAGGGTGAGAGAAACTTAACCCTGCAATTTATTCCTGGAATTCCACGGACAGCTGCTCACCATGAGAAAGACCCCAGAAAACAAAATGCCTCAAACAGGTGTACTGCAAATGAACTCTCTAAACCCCTTTGTGCAGATGTAGACGCCAGCAAACATAGACCTGCTCTGTTTATGTACACAGTTACTCTATTCTGTCACTAGATGGCACACCCAGATCAGGTATTGAATATTCACCAGCAAGCCGAGCTCTACCACGGTTCAGAATATGGACAAGTAAACGGCTCGCGAGACTCCACACTTTACTCGGTAATGGCAGCATTTTAATCACAATTACTGTTTTCATGCAATCACAGTTTACGTTTTTGGTAATTTTTGGCTCGCAGCAGAGTTCACAATTGCGGGTGTCTAAGGCATGGAATGTTAAACAGCTACAGTGCGTGACATCAACATAGTAGTGGAGGGGAAAAGTCCACAGAATCCAACGATATAAGCCTTGTCATTTTAAACCGACACCACACTGAAAGAACAGCAGGCATACACTTTACAGTCTACAGAGATGAGCAAAAAAAAATTCTTACCTTAGATATTTTGTAATTAAAAAAAACTGTTTGAGGGTAAATCTGCGCTTGCTATTGTTAGCCCAATGTGTCCGTGTTATAACAGAACTATCCAGTCTGCAAACATGTTTTTTTTCCAGGGCATTGTTTCAAAGATCTCAGCTCATCAGCATTCAGCTTGCTTGCAATGTATTTTCCTCTCTGTGATCGGCTTGTGATGCTGTCAGCAAGACTTTACCGGTAGCTATTTGATTCTATGGGTTCTGATGTTTCCAACAAGCTCTAAAACACCTCAATCGGACAAACCTAGCTTGAGCTTGAGCCTTGCGTTCCAAGTGCGTCAAACTGAGTCCATGGGCCATTCACATGTACTTCAATAGCGTGACAATATAAACTTTACTGGTTTGTTTGTGACATTTTCTGTAAATTTATCCTGCTAAATATTCAACAGTCGTTTTAAAGTTGTTTTCTAACAGAATCTTGTTATGCCATTCCGCGTGAATACTGAGAGTAAAAACAGTAGGCTACAGTATGTTTTCTTGACTCATTCTTTACATGGGAAATTCAAATTCATAGATGGCTGATGTAGCCTAGTGGTTTGGGTGAAGCGCTGCATCCTATTTCGCCAGGGTTCAAGTCCCAGTCTCGGCATGAATTTACTACAGCAATCATAGCTTTTTTCTTGTATGAATAATTGCTGGGATTTTTGTTCTTTTTACTTTTTTTTTTACCATTTTTTTACATGACCTTTGTATTTATAATTTTATTTATTTGCTTTTTAAAAATAAATCTGTTCCAGTGGAGTCAAACTTCATTTTCGTTGTATGTACTATCTTTGAATGGGAAATTGTATAGGCTACAGGACTGGCAGGAATAATAATAATAAAAAATACAAAAGGTATTTAAAAATTCTAAAATTTTAAAAAGTGGTTCTATTTGGATGGAATGTATGCCTGTAGTGACATATAAGTGAAATTAAATGAGTTTTACAGTTTGGTATTTGAAAATATGAAACGATACACAAAGTCAGCTTGGAGAGGCCACCTACACATTCCCAAACTAAAACCTCTCTAATTTTGCTCTGATTTACTTGGTTAGAATAAACTTTGGCACAGATATTGGTGAGATTCTATGCTGTAATTTTTCAGGGTTTTAGACTGCAACTGAATAATGTTAAGACAGATAAAAGTAAAACTTTGTTTGGTGCAAAAAAGATGTTTCATTTATGCAGTGTTCCATCTTCATTTACTCTGACTCAGTGAAATATACACTGATTTTGCACCATGACAACAATCCTCGAGGTGTTACCTTTATTATGATACCAAGATCAATCAAATCTACCAATTTGTTGCAGAGATATAGTCATTTTATTTTGGGCATGCCATTTTCAAGCCAGAGGCTCAGGGCTTAAGGGGTGAAAAGCACCAAAGTTGGCAGAGAGATAGCTTTTATATTCTGATTAAGATTTGATATGGAACCATCGCAAAATATGATGGTGACAGCCGTTACGGGGGTTTTTGCAAAATGGCCACCATCTTCAACCGGAAGTAAAATTCCCTCAACCGGAAGTGAGCTAAAACAGCCTCTAACAAGGTGATTTCTTGTCCAATTTTTACTTATACAGTATTCTTGTCTTGAGATGGGACTTATGACACAATTTAAGTCAAAAGAATTGACACTTGAAATTTATTTTATTTTATTTTGGAATGTTCTACTTAAAATAATACGGCCCCTATACTTCACTGGAAGTATTCCGATGTTTCCTTTTCTTAGAATAATACTCAATGTTCTGTAATGTTCACTAAATCTCAGAAAAAAAATCACATGCCATCAATAACCTTAGAATACTTATTACAGGGAACATGTATGTCGCATGACACTTGCCTTCCAGAGCAATAAGGTCTGTTCCGTGCCTGAGCTTTGTCAACAACTTCTGGTCTTGGAGTTTGAACGCACAAGCACTAACTAGAGTCCAAAGAAAAATTGCTCACACAGTGTAGAGGTTTGCCACGTGCGCTACCCCCATCATAGAGAAAATTATATTTATTTATTTATTTTTTATTTTATTTTATTTGGAGAAAACAAACTGTTGCCACGCTTTCTAGGTCATGACTTGAGCAAGAGTGAGTATATTTCTATCTTGCAATCTATTCAGATCTGTCTGTGCTATGTTTTTTGTGCTGTCTTCAACTTTTTGGAATTGAATAAAGTGTAACAGCTCTTATGCCATTTTGCTCTGTTGTTTGCAAAAGTATTCTCAGTGCCATTTCCATCATTTAGTCTGGACAGGCGAAGGTCAATCAGACTTGATGATATTTGCAGCTAGTGTTGAATAACCAGCATTGGTTTGACATTTGGTGTCTGCTGGGGGCTGCAACTGTTGGCCTGGCTTTACCTCTTGGCAGACAGCACAGAGAAACCAATCGTTTTGTCTTAATCAGACACCTACGTCCTCAAGCTCCTAAATTGATAAATCAGCAGTTGCTTTGATAAATATCTTTTTTCATATAGTTATGATGAGTATAGTTCATATTGTAATTATTGAGAGAAACATGACCAGAAAGTGATTGATATTTACAGTCCATCCAGTGAAGATTTCATGCTGTTGAGCTTTCTAAATGTGTCTGCCTTCTCAAAATCAAGTAAATATTGTAAATATTAGTCTTCAAATCGTTGAGTTAAAAATGTACTTGTGATGTACAATGTGACATGGACTTCAGATAAGAGTACTTTTGGCTATAAAAAGAAAGATGGTGACTGAAATATGCAAATTAGTTACAACAGACTTCTGGGTAATTTACTAGTCTCCCTCAATACTAGTTTTCAAAAATTATATGAGGAAAAATTGTACATTGACAAAATATATATAAATGCATATTATTTGCAATATAGAAGTATATTCTAAACACAAAGTTAATCAAAAGTTTACACTGACAAGAGCTTGTGATATTATTAGATATTTTGGCTTTTCTACGGAAAAAAAAAATGAAAATTAAAAAATTCTTTTAAAGTTCAATATTTATTTTATTATAAGCTTAACACAAACCAAATAATTTTTTTCTTCACTGAAAAGGCTCAAAATCACCTTGTTAGAGGTTATTTTAGCTCACTTCTGGTTTAGGGGATTTCACTTCTGATCCAAGATGGTGGCCATTTTGGAAAAATCCCCATAATGGATGTCTGCACCATATTTCCGGATGGCTCCATATCAAATCATAATCAGGGTGTAAAAAAAAGGTATCTCTATGCCAAATTTTGGCGCTTTTAACCAAATGTGAACAATTTTCACATATATCTGCCCCACTATCACCACTAATGAGGACAGGAAAACGCTTGATTAATATTGCAGTGAACAATAATGTAAGCTGAGGGGAAATAGTAATTCTACTGATTGATCCTTGCAACTGAGGGAATTAATGGTTATTTGCTAATTAGGAAGCATAAACGGGTACAGGTTCGAAGATGTAATGCGTTTTAAGGCGAGGTGAGAGCCGGGCAATAATTTTTCCGATGGCAAGTCCCAAGCGGAAGAGGTAAGGTTTTTTTTTTAAGGTTTTTCAACTTTTACAACACAAAATTTATTGTGAAATGTTCCACAAAGCTTCAGTGTGCCTGCTCTGACATTATTTTAACGATACTATCTACAATTTTACGAAATTTTGCCTTTTCTAGTGGGTGGTTCAAGGGGAAAAGCACTTTACAATGATCTTTGTGACTCAGCTGTTATCCTTCAAAATGGTAACCGTGGCAAATTTAACTGACAGGGTAACAGCTGTGATATCATAACTAAAGTTGGAATCAAAATTATTCAACCCCCGTTGCAAATTAGGTTTAGTGGCAAAATTTACAAACTTTCAGCTGTTTGCAATGAAAAAATTAAACAAGAATAATTTAAATGGCTCAACACAACAAATATTACAAGTGGCTTCTCTAGATTCAACACAAAATGCCACTTTTAATGACTACTGCAGGCTCAAAATTATTCAACCCATTCATGACAAGCATCTTTAATACTTAGTAGAAAACCCTTTTGCCGCTATGACCTGCTGGAAATGTAACGCATAGGCAGATGTCAGCTTTTGGCAGCATTCCCAAGGAATCTTAGCCCAGTCCTCATGGACAATGGCCTCCAGTTCACTAATATTCTGGAGTTTGCATGCTGCAACTGTGTTCTTCAAATCCTACCAGAGATTTTTTATGGGGTTCAAGAGAGACGACCGTGATGGGCATTCTAGAATCTTCCCAGACTTCTTCTGAAACCAAGCCTTGGTGAATGTTGAGGTATGCTTAGGATCATTGTCCTTTTGGAAGGTTCAATGATGCCCAAGCGTCAGCTTCCCTACAGATGGCATGATATTTTCTCCTTGGATATCCTGGTACTTAACTGAATCCATCTTGCCCTCCACACTTTGCAGATTTCCAGTGCCAGAGGAAGCAAGGCAGCCGCAGAGCATCAAAATGCCCCCACAAATCTTCATTGTAAGCAGGGCGTACTTTTCAACATATGCTTCTTTATTCCTTTTGCAGACATACCACTGATTCATAAGCCCGAAATATTCCAGTTTTGTTTCATCACTCCACAGAACAATATGCCCAAACTTCTGTGGCTTATTTATATGGTTTTGAGCATATTGGAGCTTGTGCTTTTGGATCATTTGTGGTGTATGTCTTGGAGACCTTCAATATTTTGTATGCGCCCTACTGTGCAAACTTAAACATCAGTGCCTCCTGCCTCCAAGTCTTGCTGCAGGTCTCCTGCAGTCACTCGAGGGTTTTTGACCACCCGTCTCCTCAGGAATCTGGTGACAGCCATTGATAGCTTCCTCTTTCTGCCACATCCTGGTACTGTAGCCAATCTTTCTTTAACTTCCTTTAACTTGCGAACTATGCTTCCAACTGTATCACTACAAAAATGCAATGCCTGTGCTACCTTTTTGTATCCTTTTTCTTGTTTGTGCCAGGCAATGATCTCCTCTATTTGCTTTTTGAACAATTCTTTTGACAGCCATATTTCTAATATGCAATCAAATGTCACTGTCAACAAACCCCTAGCGAGTGCAAGTATTTGATGTATTCTATCTCAAGCAAACCTGATGCAACTAATTAAGCTCTTGATTAGCTGCATTAGGTGAGCTTGAGGCAACACCTGATTCGCAAATATGCTCTTACGAAGGATTCTATTTGAGGGGTTGAATAATTTTGAGACTGCAGCAGTCATTAAAAATGGCATTTTGTGTTAAATTTGGAGAAACCACTTGTAATATTAGTTGTGTTGAGCTATTACAATGTTCTTGTTTAATCTATTTATCACAAACAGCTGAAGTTTGTAAATTTTGCTATTACACCCAATTTGCAATGGGGGTTGAATAATTTTGATTGCAACTGTATGTGCAGGCGGGGGAAAAAACATAAAGCCAAGTGCTCATTTTCTTCATTAGATCACATTTTTTCCCCACTACTGTCACTGAAATACCAATTTACTGATTGTAAACTATCACTTATTATTGTCATGGTTCTGTGTTTATGTTCATGCTTTATGTTCATGGTCATGTCTTTTCTTTATTCTTTTTGGTTTTTGTATTCTCCGGTTTTCAGTTCATGCCATTTTAAGTGTCATTGCACTTATCTCCCCTGTCTTGTGATCTAGTTGG